GGCTAGACGCACAGAGGGAGGACATTTCATCTCTCAGGAAACTCTGGGATGGCATTGAAGAACATCGGAGCCAGTCGGATAAAGTTCAAAGTGATTTAGGTAGTACAAGTGCCTCGCCGTCTGTCGTATTTAAAGCTCATTATAAAAGTAAAGTTTCCCTTTCATACCCATATAGTCCAGATGATGTAAAGGTCATCTGTTTCTGTGGTCCACGGTTAACGAGGGTGTCATGTGGCCAGCATAACGGACCCCTGTTCGTTATCTTAAATGTCACTATGTTGCTGGAAGTGGTAATGGATATATATAGCAATCCATAACCTATAAATGCTTCCAATGGCATGTGTCTAACTAGCCTGTGACAATGATTCCAATTCCTGGTATTCTCGTATCGCTCAGATAGTGAGTCCGGCGGAACTGTTTTCACTAACAGGAGAAGGCGCAAAGGCGCGAAACTGGTGCCTAAACTAATAAGCTTCGCGTATTTTTTTTTCATTTTGCCACAATGCACAAGTACTACAAAGACAGTCAGTACAATAAATTAAAATATATAAATAACGTAATTAAAAAAAAAATCTTTATAGTAGTAGTGGCGCTAGATGTCCAAGTTCATAAATCATCGAGCTAATAACTCGAATGTTGTGGGTTCACTCAAGACCAATCGTCACAGTAGGCCTGAACACTGACCTGAGAGGTAGCAATGATCTATTGGTCTCCACTGACCACGTGTTGCTACGTCACAGGTTCATGTGCTCAAGCCTATTAGGACGATAGGGTCTCGATTCGATCCCAATCTGGACATTTTTTTTTCCTGCTTCAATCATCCAAAAAAATATAAAAAAATAAAATTATAAAGTTTACTATATTATTTAAAGATTATTAAAATTGAGGTTTGTAATTGTTACTTGTTCCTTCACAGGCAAACAACTTTCGAATGTGGCCGAAATGCTTAACAAAACTTCACAAAATCTACAGAATCTGGAGAAAGCTTTAGGTAACAGCAAAGACGGGTAATAATTTAGCATGTCGCTCGTTAAGTTGAATCGGTCCAGAGTGTTAAGTATTCCTCACAGCATTGGTTCTCACATCACGCTAAAGGGGGTCGATTGCCTCTAATTCTCTAATGATGTAAGTCTTATTATTGTCCAAAAAAAAAAAAGGAACACATCTCACGCGACATTGCTTAACTACTATGAAGACCTACATACTGAACATGACCTTCTGACACGCTGGACAACTCAGCTACACTACATGTAGGTAGGGCTACTGTACATTGGTCGTATAACAACATTTTCATACTGTATTGTAATGGACCTCATTCACCAATCTTAAACAACATTTACCCATGTGTTTCTCTATCTCTTCTATACAAATTACGATCTCATTTTAATCAACAATGGTTTTCACGTGACAGGTTTTTTTTTCGTTGTTTAATCACTATTATCGCGTGGCCGTTCGTTTTGGTGAATGAGGTCCATTCTGTAGGTAAGATTTTGTCCCCGGTTCTATAATAGTGATTAAGTAACCTTTAATCAACATCAACAAATAAGATACAAATATGCTCTCGCTGGGACACACGACCCCTCAGATGCGGGCAAGTGGCGGTTTCCCCACTCGCCACCCTCTAAGGCCGCCTCTGGCAGCTCCATGTACTTACCAACAAATGCTTGCAGTTAGCTAATGGATGTCAGATGGCAAGCGAAATCTCTAACTACAGTCAATAGGAAACAACTCAAAACACCGAACAAGAAATCAAATGACGCAACTGTGGCTGGATAGGACACACAATGCGAAGAACAGCAGACGACATTGTAATACAGGCTCTAGACTTGAACCCACACGGGAAGAGAAGTCTTGGAGACCAAAGCTAACTTTGATTCTACGACCCTATAAAATATAAAGAAAATATTATTTTGCTTTAAAAATGAATAGTTTATCAATTCATCATAATGCTGTACACCGGATACTCCAAAAAGATTGATATTTTAGGATTGACCTCCATGATACGTGAATGCCTACTAGATATAGTGTATCATTTTGATTTATGTATTATAGAATGCTATATAATTACATGGTATTGTATGTTTTATTTAGGGTTAACGGACGGATCTCTGAGACTCAACAACAACGGCGTGACGGGGAGAGAAGGCAGGCTGGAGGTGTTTCACAACGGTCAGTGGGGGTCAGTCTGTGACGACAACTTTGACCTTAATGCTGCCATCGTCGTCTGCAAGCAGCTTGGTTATGACACGTAAGGATCAATGCTGTATAGTAGATTGATTAAATTGTCAAAATTTGTCGCAATATTAACCCAAGCCTTTGCGGTATTGTGGATTCTAGAACAGTCGAAACTCTACAGCAGATTACAGAAAAAGTCGAAACTTATTGCAAAATTAATTTATTAACATTATGGCCTTTTTCAATCGCGAAACGACTAAAGGCTCATCTCATGGAAATGAGATGAATTCGTGGGCATTAGTTGTGGTCGGAACGATGTCACCCACACATTAGTTCCGCCTTCTCAAGGCAGCTGATGCATCCAAAGGAGCGTCAAGTGACGATACAGTTTGGGGTAAACGGCATCGGAAGCTCTACCAGAGCGTAACTGAGTGCTGCAAACTGCCTAAGGGTCTTTGGCTCCTGATTTTTTATTTTTTTAGGGTTGACTCTCGAAGCCTTTTCCTTGATCGGGTATAGTTACAAGGCAGCAGAGGTTTCTAAGTGGGAAGCCCTTCTGCCTGAAGCTTACTGGCTAGTTATCCGCATTCGCCCATTCTCCTGTTAGTGAAAATAGTTCCGCCGGACTCAGTATCTAATCCACACGTAAAAGCCAGGAGTTGGACTGGTAGTCAGTGGCTATTTGATACACATACTATTAGAAAGCATTTTATAAGTAGTGGAGTGCTTATATCCATTACCACTTCCGGCAATGGCAACCTTAATCAGGTATCTTCGTGAGTTTATTTAACAAAATAAAGCATAACTGTATCTCCTGTGCAGTTTTGTAATAATCTCCGAAACAAACTTGTGATCATGTTTAATGTAACTTTTTAGACAGTTTAGGTAAGTTAACAATAACGAAAAAACCCAAACTAATTACAGTGAAAAGAGATATCGGTTTGTCTATCCTCAGCATCGATCTGTTAAACTACCTTTCGTGTTAATATAAAAAATTCGATTACCTACTGTCCAGGAGGAAGTTTGTATTCGATTAATAAATAAAACAAAGAGATAGTTAGAATTACAATGCTATGTGTACTTTAAAATTACTTTTAAGATCTTAAAAATCTCTACATCTAAACGTGTAATGACAAAAGCAGAAATATATCATCTGTAATTCTAAGTAAGATATAGTATAAAAATTTCTTTAGCAGTTATGAACTTACATTCTGTGTTACTCGTATTTGTATTCGTGTTAGTAATTGTAATTGTGCTCGTATTTGTGTTAGTAATTGTAAGCGTCTTTGTTATCGTGTTAGTTTTGTAATCGTGCTCGTATTCGTGTAAGTATTCGTAATTATTCTTATATTCGTACTGTAGTCTGTTGACCGTGACAGTGGACATGGCTAAAGCATGTTTCCTGTGTGAAATTAAGTCTATGAAATAAAATCATTCACAGAAAGTCTATTTTTAGTTTTTTTTAAATTTCACATAAAGTCTAATTTTTGTTTATATTTAACATTCTGGTCTAAATTCTTTAAATTTCACTTAAGGTCTAGTTTTAGTTCATAAAATTTCACTTAAGGTCTAGTTTTAGTTCATAAAATTTCACTTAAGGTCTAGTATTACTTCAAAAAATTTCACTTATAAGTCTATATTTTATTCTTGAAATTTGAGATTCTCAACTTTTTTTTTTTGTCGTTTTCAGTGACAAGGCGGCATTTTTCGTAAAGGCCCATTATGGTCAAGCAGGGGCGACGACTCCTATTCACTTGGACGACGTCGTCTGCTATGGAGAAGAGACGCAGCTGGTCAAGTGCCAACACAGTGCTTGGGGCTTCCACGGCTGCTCTCATGCGGAGGACGTAGGAGTCAAGTGCTGAAGTAATATCAAACGTAGCTTTCTGCTGACATGGCCAGGCACCTACTATGACCTTGACATTGACGTTTTCAAAATATTAAATTTGTTATGTTTAGAGGTTTTTATAAGAGATTTTTTTAATTAAAAAAAAAAAGATTAACATGAAATTGAGTGCTTTATCTAGCTCGTCGAGTCGTCCCACTTAGCATAGGTAATATTATTTTAATTGTTATGTAAATACCTACTGTCTACCCTTATTCCTTATGATGATTGTATTTGTTAAATGAATAGAAAAATTGACATAAACAAGGTCAAGAGGTAGGAGAAATTCTTAGTATTCTTAGCACTGCTGATGCTGTGCTAAGATTTTTTTTTGTTAGAGAGCGGAGTTACTGCCCTTGGGGGGCTCTGCCATTGCATTTAGAACAAGGAACTGAATGATCATCTGTTATATATTTTTATGACTATTGGATTGTATTCTAATTATCATGTAGATAAAAATATTTTTTAAAATAATACTTCTATTAACTCGCTCTTTTTTTCTGTCTGTCTGTCTGTCTGGGTACAGATTTTGAACACGTTATGTCTCCCCCTTCCCTTAAAATTTTGCTCAATTTTTCATTGTTTCTAGCAAATTATGAATCAATCAAAACGTATACCAATTAATTAACTATTGCATGTTAATAAATTAATTTAGTTTGATATTGATTAAGCGAGATAAATCTTACACTACTAATAGTTATGGTTATAAGCATACAGTTCTTCTTGTTTGATAGTCTTTGATTTAGAAAAGAAATTATTTATCTTTTGCTTGTTCCCTCAAAAGTCACATGCCTTCAATGACAGTCACGCTGGGCAGGACAGGTATCCCGAATGGGGACGATCATATTCCAAAGGCAATCTTTTTTTAGTGAGCTGAAAGGTGGTCGGCGTGACAGAGATGCCACACAATAACGCTTCTTTAGAATACTAACGCAATGTTTTTAAAGTCTCCTTGGAAAAAATGTGCCATTTTAGTTTGTTACAAGGTGCAAGGTTTACCCTATTACGTAGAGATTTTGCGTCACTTGATGTTTGGTACTAAAGCCATAATGAATATACTAATTGCAATATTAATGTCTGAACGTAACCATTTGAGCCGTGACACTGCAAAGGGTTTCTTCCAAAACAATAATAGCCCAAAACGTTTAGGCGATGTAAACGACTTGATGTGAGCTGCGGTTTTGTAGACTGTGTCTTATCTTATGAAATACAGACGTTACTTCAAAAAAGAAGATGATTACGTCCTACACGAGTTCTGTATAGGGACTTAAGAAAGAGACTTTCTATTCAAATCGCGATGTACACTGAAATTTAGAACTAAAATAACACGAATGCATCTTTTCGAATGGTAGTCTTTACCTGATCCAAAATAAATAAATATATTTACTCAACAAATATTCAAACGAGCGAGGCTCGGCCACCTGGTACTTATTTTTATCCACAAGAAGTCAGCATTAAGATATTTAGTTCAAAAAACTTTTTTTAGATCTTAATTCAATCCTATATTTTCCTAAAATAAGTATTAAAAAAATCTATGCTAAATCTGGCCACTACTTCAAGATTGAGCGGAAAAAAATGTTTCTCAAGAATCAATCTTCATTTACTTTATAAATCTGGAAATCTAGACATGTCTTGTTCAGGACAGTCTCAGAGCTGACTAATTTCAATCTGTATGGCTTCCCAGTCTATTTAGATCTAACACTGGCAATGTCTCGGCTTTGAGAGATTCCTAGTAATCAGCATCTGAGTGATTCACACTAACTGGTGGACGAGTAGTCTAATCCTTTTTCTGAGTCTTTACTTCTTGAGGAGTTTCAAACAGTCGGAGAGTTCTTGCAAGGGGCCACAACTTTTGTATTTTCTTAACCGTATGTTCTTTTTTTCTTTTTTTTTAACCCATTGATCTAATTACAATCGTGTCAAATTGTGTTATAGACGAAATGCCATTTTCTTACGAAAATTTATTGGTTCAGCATGGACACCGAAACTTGGACATTGTTTGAACGCGATCTCGAAAACGGCTCTAACGACTTTTAAAAAGAAATTTGAAAATTTATGTATATCTATGAGAAAAAAAATTAATAGCTAATTAGCCAAACTGGGAAACGTTTAACCAATATAGTTTTTCAAAATATAATCCTCTAAAATTAAATTTTGTTTAGAGTTCTATACTACTATTACACATTAGTAGAAATTATTGAATTGTTGATGTCGTTGAAAAATGCGCTAAAGGATCGCAACTTAGATCAACTGATAAATGTTCCGACACACGTCAAAGGCCATACTCTTGACTGGATTGTTACAAATGCAAGTGAGCTTATAGCCAAACTCAATGTCTCAGACCGCGGCTTGTCAGATCATTTTCTTGTACACTTTGAAATGCGCCTATCAAAAGCAATAAAGCCAAAGAAAAACGTGACTTCCCGTAAACTTAAACCCATAGACATTGCCTCCTTCAAAATGAAAGTGACCTCTTTGCTGTTGCAACAGAGCAACACAGACGTTCTCAGCAATTACAATTCTTGCTTGAAAAAGTTGCTGGACAGCCATGCACCTCTTGTCACTTGTATAGTCTCAGTTAGGCCATCTGCACCCTGGTTGACGGAAGACATAAAGACTGCCAAACTTATTCGCCGACGTACATTTCAAAAGACAGGTCTGACGATACATCGACAAATATACATACTAGAAAAAAACAAGGTTAACCGTATGATTAGAGACGCAAAAGCTAGTCATATTCGACAAAAAATCGAAACTTCTGATTCTTCAAAGGAGCTATTAGGATCACCGCTGAAATGTTAGGGGGAGCAAATAACGAACGTTTGCCGTCATCTATCCCAGTATCTGAACTTCCTGATTCCTTCAATAGATTCTTCATTGGGAAGATTGAGCAGATTAGAAATGGCATGCCATCCCTCTCATCACAGCTTGACCACTCTCCAATTTTTCAAAGTACTCCTTTTTGCGAATTTCAGCGTGTATCTGAAGATTATGTCAAAAGTACTATTCTAAAGATGCCAAATAAGTCATGTGACCTTGATCCCATTCCAACTTCCTTGCTCCTTGAATGTTTAGATGAGCTTGTACCTACAATTACTAACATTGTGAACTCTTCACTGACTTCAGACATTGTACCAAAGCAATTTAAGCATGCACTTGTCAGGCCCTTATTAAAGAAATCCAGTCTTGACCCGGAATGTCAAAAAAACTATCGCCCGGTATCAAATCTTCCCTTCCTGTCAAAGCTTCTGGAGCGCATCATGTTAGCGCAAATTCTTTCTCATCTTAAACAGTACTGTCTCTTGGAAGAATTTCAATCTGCATATAGGAAGTGCCGTAGCACAGAGACAGCAGTGGTCAGGGTACTAAACGATTTACTTCACAATTCCGACAAAGGCCACATATCAATTCTTTCCATGCTGGACTTGTCCGCAGCCTTTGATACGCTAGACCATGAAATTATGATGGCCAGATTCTCTGCAACTTTTGGTTTAGCAGGAGTCGTCCTAAAGTGGCTTGGATCCTACCTGATGGAACGCACCCAAGTGTCGTTGTTAGTGGTACGGAATCAACAAGCATACTTTTGAAGTTCGGAGTACCCCTAGGATCAGTTCTAGGCCCAGTACTGTTCACTATTTACACATATCCACTCAGCGGTGTCATACGGCCAACCGGTATCTTATACCATTTCTTTGCCGATGACTCTCAGTTATACGATTCATCAGTACCCTCAGAGGTGTCGCATCTGGCAGAGAAAATCAGTAGTACCGTTGCAAGGGTGAGCGATTGGATGGTTGAAAATAAACTCAAGATGAACGAAGACAAGACAGAAATAATTAAGATTGGCACTAGGAACAAAAGTTGAAAGCACAGATTATCTCTTTATCACAAACTGCCATGCTCCTTTTGTCCATGTAGTGCGGAATCTTGGAGTTTTCTTCGACTCAACACTATCTTTCGACCCACACATAAGTCAGCTCTGCAAAGGTCTTTATCTGCAGCTGCGCAGATTAGGCCAGATCCGACCATATTTAACAACGGATGGCTGCCTGGTCGTGCGGTTTGCACGCTGGACTGTCGTTCAGATTTATCGATAGTCCCGGGTTCAAACCCTGCCCGCTCCCATCCCCCGTCGTCCTGCGGAAGGTTTGGACTAGGAAGTAATTATCTTCGACTCTGAAGGAACATCCGAAACATGTAAAACATTTTACAACATTTTACGGAGTCAACAAAAACGCTAGCTGTGGCATTCACTCTCCCGCCTTGACTACTGCAACGCCGTGCTAGCAGGTATACCTGATGACAAAATAGCCAAGCTGCAACGTATACAGAACAACGCCGCTCGAATAGTCCTTAAAAAAAATAGACAAGATTCTGCTACTACGCTCTTGCGCACGCTCCATTGGCTTCCCGTGAAAGCGAGAATCGATTACAAGGTCGCCACACTTTGTCATCAGTGTATATATAACAACGAGATGCCCTTGTACCTTAGAGAACTGATTACTCCATATGTCCCCCAGAGAGCCCTGCGCTCAACGCTTTTAGTAGTGCCACGTTTCTCCCTCAAAAGCTACGGTCTGCGGGCTTTTTCAGTTCACGGACCAAAGGTTTGGAACTCACTCCCCATTGATCTCAGACAGACAACATGCTACACCACTTTTAAGAAGAACATTAAGACCTATCTGTTTAAAACTTTTTAGATTAGTTGGTCATGTTAGCTCTTGTGTTTGTGTTTGTAATGTTGTTACAGCGCCTTGAGCCTACATTTTGTTTGTTAACAGCGCTTTATAAATAAAATCATTATTATAAGTAGTAGTATTAATTCCCAAACATTCACTAAAAATTAATGAAAGAAATAAACAACAACTAGATCTTGGACATTTCGGACACCGTTTTGTTTACATAATAATAATTTGTTACGTTGCTTATTTTTTAAGAAGTATTCTGTTAAATGTATAATGTTCTGCCAAAACCGTAATAATTACATGAAAAAAAGCACTCAATGTTTTCTACATTTTTATTTCATTGTATTATAAATTTCACACATTACGTGAATACACACAAGGTTAGATCTGCATTGACCTTTAAACTGTTTTAAGTATCCAATCATTCCAATGTATTACATTTCTGCTTTAACTGAAGAGTGCACCTGGTGGCAGTAACGGGAAATACTGCATTCCTCATTAATCTTCGGACTCGAACAAAAACCTTATTATTATTATTATTATTATTATTATTATGTTAGAAATGAACGAGTAGTCATTCTCTGGCGCTGCCAGGGTCGAGTTTCGCCAAAGAGAAACAAAATTCATCGTAGTCCCTTTAACAGTTTCCACTGAGGAATTTTCTGGTGATGTGACAGGTCTGCAGCAGTACCCTCCTCTGACAGGCAACGAGGATGTTCCTTGGAATGTTAAGGGCCTTGAAGGTGTCTGTGAGGTCAGTTGTTATTATCCCCTCGGTTGGGATAACAATGGGGTATATTGTCATTTGGGATAACTTCCAATATCTAAGCCTAACTTCCAATATCTAAGCCTAACTTCCAATATCTAAGCCTAACTTCCAATATCTAAGCCTAACTTCCAATATCTAAGACTAACTTCCAATATCTAAGCCTAACTTCCAATATCTAAGCCTAACTTCCAATATCTAAGCCTAACTTCCAATATCTAAGCCTAACTTCCAATATCTAAGCCTAACTTCCAATATCTAAGCCTAACTTCCAATATCTAAGCCTAACTTCCAATATCTAATCCCTAGCTTCCCATATTTTCGTTGTTATTATTATTATATTTCTACATTTAAGCAAAGGTGATCCTACACCACAGATTGCTGCGTGGTCGTGTGGTATGCTCCCTAGGACTTCGTTCGGTGGTCTCGGTGGTCTCTGGCCCGACCTCTACCCTGTCTCGTTTCCAATCGTCCTGCGGGAGATTTAGGCCAGAATGTAGTTATATTGAAATCTGACAGAATAACCGAAACATTTAAACCAACCAAACAAACAACTAACCAACTACAGGACTATTAGAAAGTTGAGTGAAAAAAAAGCTCGATGGACAAACAAATTGTGTATTTATAAATATGATATTCATTAATTATTTTACAAAAATGCGAATCAAAACAAACTCTAGGCAATACAATTCAAAGTCGTGATAGATCATATTACAACATTCTATAAATAAATTCCTTTTTAATCTGAACACGACGGGATTTGAGAATTAAAA